CATAAAGACTTTACAGTTTTGTTACTGCGCGAAATGTCTGCCCGGTAATTTCATGTTATTATCATACAGACATTAAATGAACGTAACCATTTGTCATACTGACGATATTATTCCATCTGTCTTACATTTTCTCTCTGTACCCGTCTTTGTATGTGCTTGTATATGTGATGTGTGTCTGTGTGTGTGCGTGCTTCAAGACATACAGCAGACATATCTGTACCAGTGTTGTGTCCAGAAAGTATCCACCCGTTAATTTTAACAAATCAGTTGGCTCAGCATTCTTTGTCCGTTCTATTTATTAATATTATTTGTGTATGTTATGTTTCCTGCTTTGTATCCTGTAGTGCCGGCTCCAAACTATGGTCCTTAGGCCTTATAGGAGAATTGTCATTTAATTGATAGCACTTTTCTTAATATATAGGATACTATTCCTAGTAGGGCAATCTTCTGTATGTTGTTACCTGGGACACTTTTAGTAAAATTGCCCTTTCCTTTTCTTCCCAAGGCCCACAGCTCCGATTACTATTGGTACAGTCTCAGTCTTCATTCCTCATATTCTGTTTATCTCGATTATTATTATTATTATTATTAATAATATATATAATGAAATAGAATAAGCCTGACAATTATTTTAATACATTTCCTGTTTATATGGTATTTATTTTTTTTGGATATAATATATTTAAATAAATGCACTGTTTTTTTAATTAAACAGTATTAATTACATTTACTTGCCTGAATGTTCGAGAAGTTTCCTAGAAGATATGTGCCTCTACGACAGGATTCGAACCTGTATCCCTAATGGGAACCATCATTTGATCTGAAATGCTGTTTATAAAGATACACCTTCGACGATTTTTCTCGATCGATCACATCTGCTCACGAAATATATCTTAACGTAAACAATGTCAACATATGAAATGGATTAAGTCTGACAATTATTTGAATATACTTTTCTGTTTACACTTTCATTTAGAGATATATCAGATGAATATATATATATAACAGGATACCCAAGATCCTAATGTACAGCCAGTTAGATCAGGGCTATAGGAATGTAGGACGCCCATTGCTAAGATACAAAGACAAGCTGAAAAGCAACTTGTCAGCAGTCAATATATCACATAACACCCTTAAGCGCTTAGCCTTGGAGCGGGTAGAATGGAGATCAATGTATTTTAGTGGACTCAGCAATTTTAAATCTGCTTGTCTGAATCATCTTCAAGAAGCGAGCGCAAGATCTAAAAGGTCAGCCAATCTAAAAGTAAATCACTATCGGTTTTAAATGCCACTTAAGATTATCGCTCAAAATTTCATAACTGAATCAATAAGCTGTCAGATCCTCATACGTCGAAACCGACGGGAGAGTCCATTATTATTATTATTATTATTGTTATATAAATTTATATATATATATATATATATATATATATATATATATATATATATATATACACCGTTGTAACCTTGCCAACAAAAATTATAGTAATTGTTATAGTAGTGTTATGCAATGAAAGAAGAGTCTTAAAACAATGTATTGCGATTCAATAAAGCGGAAATAAAGGATTCGCAACTAAAATGCAGGACAATGAAACATTTTATCAATCCGTTCTATTTATAATATTTCGACGTCCAGTGGTATCAATGGTTCATGAATGCTCCTTCTATTATATAATTCACTTTTTGCTCAATAAATTTTTATGTTAAAAATTTTATGTGTTTAATATAATAGGGAATTGGAAATAACTCTCGGACGAATAAGATTAGCAACAAAACGACAACGATGGCGGCGAGAGAACATATTTTAAGACCAAGTTGAAACAAAATAATCACTTCATAAATTAAGGTATCTGAGTGACTAACAGGAACGGCTTGAACATATAAAACCTCTAAATATTTCATTTACATAGATTAAGAAAATGATTAAGTTAAGTAATCACTTTTCTAGTTGTAATACTAATTACATCCCTTCTCAATACAGATGGGACAATAAATATATAAATAAATGCACATTGATAATATATATATATATATATATATATATATATATATATATATATATATATATATATATATATATATATATAGATAGATAGATAGATAGATAGATATAGGTAGTGATCCGTTGGTATGATTCCAAGGAAGTCCTATTAATACACTAGCAGTAGAGCCCGGCGTTGCCCGGGGATGTAACAGTAAGAGATAGATCAAGTATCGACCATCATAAAGACTGAAAAATAAAATTGGCAAAGATTATTGATTAAGGTTGACGGACACGCATGTCTTAATTATTTTTTTTTTTTTTTACGAATTGGTCAAACTCAAACAAAAACATTGTTTACAATCGTTATGAGTCTACCGATTGAATAGAATTTTATTATAAACAATTGTCTTGTAAATGGAATTTTTAAAGCATTCTGAATGTAAAAATAAAGAAAAAAGTGTGCAAGACAATAAGAAACACTACCTGCCAAAAAAAAAAGTGAAGTTTTGTTGAAATCGGTTGAAAAATGTAGGAAATCAGATCCTATATATAAACACACACACACACACACACACACACACACACACACACACACACACACACACACACACAACCTGGGTTTTATAATAAGTATAACTCGATATTAATAAGTATAACTCGATATGAGTTGTCCTCCTTTCATTAATGCCTCTTAATCGTGTTTTCAAATTGATTTAATGCAAAAACAATTGTGTTTTTCCATTTTTGGCGCTGTCAGAACCACCGCAAGGTAATTTTACGTAGTCCTGTGAAGTTTTGTTGAAATCGGTTGAAAAATGTAGGAAATCCGATCCAATATATAAACGTACACACACACACACACACACACACACACACACACACACACACACACACACACAATCTGCGTTTTATAATAAGTAAGATTATAGAATTTGAAATATTAAATATTAAATGCTAAACCTGACTTATAAAGATCGCTGAATATTTATTTTCAATAAACAGTGCAATTTTTTTTTCTTACAATTGGAATTAAAATACCATTAATTAATGACCATTTTCACCTACGAATTTTAATTTTAAAATTCGCAGGATTTTTCAAACTGTTTATGGTATCAGTTTATATATAAAGTAATAAGTAATGAGTGTTTTTCCATAGGTCAGCATTACTTATTATTACTATATACGCTATATTAAGTATTATACATTTAATTTTTCTGTGTATTTCAGCACTATATTTTTCGTTTATTTGAATGGGATATTACCTTTACTAAAGGATCACGAAAAGCTGAGGCCAGTAGAGAAAATATATTTAAACAATAACTGATACATCTACTCAAAAACGTGTACCTACTTAATGTAAGGTGTCTATATATATATATATATATATATATATATATATATATATATATATATATATATATATATATATATAATGTCTGGCAGATTCATAGCTATCCAAATTTAATAAAATAACATGCTTAGGGAAATTCCAATTTAGTCGCCTAGAAATAACCCTTTTTAGCCCTTTTGCCCATTCAGTCTCCTTTTCAGTTTTTCAAAGCTGTTTGCAAACATCTTTTACAGGATCATCATCAGCTATTAATCTTTAATCCTAAATTTAAACTACTCTTTGAAATCTCGTATATTTTAACGGCGATTTTAGATTTAATAAATAAAAACAAAACAAAAATATATCCGACTCGGCGGAACAGATTTGGATTGCATTTAGTGTGCCAGATAAAAAGTGAAACAAAGTTATGTCAAACAAGCCCTGCGCAAAATGACATTGAACATGGAACAAACACGCAATTGAGTAGCACTACATGAGTAATTTTGTTTTATGCAGGTACAGTAATTTTTCCTCTAACTGGATTTTAACCAAATAATATCAAGGTCACGCAACCGTTTCTCAAGATATTTAATATAGCTGGCTATCGATGGTCATTTTCAAAGAAAGTAGGTAGAAGCCGAAAGAGAGAGAGAGAGAGAGGGGGGTAGAGGGAGAGAGAGAGAGAGATAACATTCATGTTAACGGTCCGTTTAGACATTTTATTGATGAAGAGTTGCTTTGATGTGAAGTGCTTCCAAATTTTTTAATTGATTTGCAGTCAGATTGAAAGAAATCTGTTGTATTGTCAAATAATAACGGTGAATAGAAGAGATACTAGTTATTCTGTGAGGGTCATCGGCCCGCAAGACAAAATGAGCAGGCCGAATTAGAATTTTGTCATAAATTGCCTAACTGTACAGAGGACAAAACGCCTTTGTGAACAATATGAATTCACATCCCTATACTCTGTTCGAATTACCTGACGGTCAAAATGAAGCAATATACACCTAAAGAAGGACGGATAGCAGGGAGCCCGTAACATTGTCATTAAAAAGACAAATATGCTTGTCCAAAACAAAACAAAAATATATCAACAAATAATGATACATTTCAGAAATTAGAAAGAACCATTCCTCTCGTATGAGACATATTTTCTTCCACGGTAAACAGGGCTGGTCTCCATACAAGAAAGTAATTAACGTCAATTCAGATTAATGGAAAAATCACAGCTTCTACCCACGTTAGAGATCCACGTAATTATGCATTTTAGGCGTGTTTTATTAAATATTTACAGGCAAAAAGCTTTTAACTTCAGGGCCAAATAGCTTACACGTTTCGTTGGAAATAGGAACACATTATGAGTTGAAACCTGAAGGAAAAAAGAATATCTGAATACCAGTAATTATTCAACGAGCAATCCTCAATCGGCAAATTATTCTAATAATACTTACAGCCATTTGCAATGCATTTTACTTCTTTTGGTGTGATTTTTGTGTCTCCGAGAGAAGAAAAATCATCCAATGACAAAGGCTGTATCATATGAAATCAAAAAGATAATACTGTCCGCCGGTAAGTCGCATGAGCGAAGACACTTAAGAAGAGTTACAACCGTTTAGCTAAAAGAGAAATAACATTAAGAGGAATATCTGAAAGAAAGTTGTTCGAAAATGAATTTAGATAATCATTATGATATCTATCTATCTATCTATCTATCTATCTATCTATCTATCTATCTATAGTTGAAAAGTTCTCTACGCAACAAACTCCTCAAAATCTGCCCAAGCATCGGAAATTTCTTATTGTAGTGTATCTTATTATATATATATATATATATATATATATATATATATATATATATATATAAATAAAACAGACAACTTTAAGGTTCCATGTAATAAATTATTTCACCACAGCCATTTTAAAACGACTGCGGATCATTAGACTTTACTTTAGTTTGGAAGTAAAGTCTGATGATCATCAGACTTTACTTAGGTTTGGAAGTAAATTCTGATGATCCGCAGTCCTTTTAAAAGGGCTGTGGTGAAATAATTTATTACATGGAACCTTAAAGTGGTCTGTTTTTATTTAAATTATTTGCTCTGGATTTACATTAAGCTCTCTGGATTTTATCCTCCTTAGGTTTACATATACGGATTACCTAGTTTTTCATAAACATAAATATATATATATATATATATATATATATATATATATATATATATATACATTTCACTGAATACAAAAGACAAGGTGCTTTGATTTTGTTTTTATATAATTTCCCATGCGATCTATTTTTTTTCCTTTTCAGATGATAAATTATATAAAATATAATATAGGGCAAATATTATTTACGAATTTAAATGCCATTAAGGAACTGTATCCCTGATCAATCAAAATTAGTAAATAATTATATGGGCCACACTACAACATGTTTGACACGAAGACTCTCTCTACACCTTTCTGATCATACCACAATTAGATCGCATTTAAATATTCCTGGAGATCTAACGGACACTATTCGTAATGTACTTGTTGACAACACAAATATAATAGCATAATCTACATGCAAAAAAATGGTAAAAATAATGGAAGCCTTATTAATACAAGCAAAAAACAAACACTTAATAATATCAACTATGAAGATGGACACAATACCTTGACCATGTTTTGAAAAATGAAAACATTATATAAATACATACATGCAACAAACAATTTCTTATTTACCAGTTAAAAATTTTTCATCCTTGAAAATGGCTAAATGTATAGCCGAAAGCATTGGGACAGTTTTTATATAATTTATCATCTGAAAGGAAAAATATTATTAGATCGCGTGAGAAATTGTATAAAAATCTAAATCAAAGCACTTTGTCTGTTGTATTCAAAGAAATGTGCATGAAAGAAGGATTTCTGCCTAAACATACAAATATATATATATATATATATATATATATATATATATATATATATATATATATATATATATTTATATATATATATATATATATATATATATATATATATATATATATATATATTTATATATATATATATATATATATATATATATATATATATATATATATATATATATATATATATATATATATATATATATATATATATATATATATATATATATATGAAAAGTGTATATAAATATAAATAAATATATATATGTATAATTATTTATATATTATATGCGTACTACTTATTAGAAAGCGCTCAATATCAGAGATAGAGCTCACAAACTCACATCTATCCAACCAAATATATATATATATATATATATATATATATATATATATATATATATGCACTAGTTTAAAAGCAGCCTATCGGGCAGCGTTTAAGCTAGCTCCCTGCTGAGGGCTCTTGATGGGCCTTCATCACTACAGGTAGGGAAGTGTAGATGCGATAGGCAACAATAGACTACAGAAGAACTCAAAATTGTTCGCTGCATTTAAGTATTGCATTAATATTTAAGCTTCCCTTTTAAAAGTTCAACGATAATTCTTCTGCCGCCACTTAATTTAAAAACAAGTTGATGTCCTTACTTTCCGTAGAAACAATTATTTTGTATTTCTCGGGTGACTTTCGCTGGATTTCGCAATTAATTTTGTTTATTCCCAAATTGATTTCCAAGTTATAAAATTGTTATCCTACAAAAGATCGTCGCAAAAAAATCACGTAAAAAAATCGCCGGAAACTATCTCAGTAATGAGAATTTGGGAATGCTAAACTTCAAGATTGCGGCTCCAGATTCGACCCGGAATCTTTTTACTTTGCTCACGTTGTCGGCCTGATTCCAAAATGGTATGATATGTTGAGCTACGGTTAGCAAAATTCAAATTAATGCTTATAATCCTCGACGATCTTTCCTGATATATCATTTCTACTCCGAAATGTAACCTAACGTAAACAATGACAACATATTATATAAAATGGATGAAATCCGACAAATATTTTAATATATTTTCTTTTTATACGTTATACTATGAATATAACGTATATCAGTAAATGGCCTGTTTTTAATTAACGCATATTTTCTCCGAAATTTCTCGAACATTCAGGCCGGTAAATCAGAATATATATATATATATATATATATATATATATATATATATATATATATATATATCATCACCAATTAGAATGCAGGGTAGTTGTTTACTCTGAAGTGTGTTCCAAGTATCGATATTTTCCTCTTCCTATCTGTCTGGGTCACCAGTTTGTGTTTCTCTGTGTTGTATATATACGAAAAATCCCTTTCCTTATATTGGTGAGATTCGTTACAATCTTAGCTCTGTGGCATCTCTTAGTACATTCAAGAATTCCACTTTGTCGCCCGTTTCCTTTTCCGCCATAATCTGCACTGAATGGCTTCCATGGTTCCCATAGTCCTTCTGTACTTGTATATCCTGATACATATTTTACTTTATCCGTGTCTGTTTTAAATCCACTTCTTTAATGTACTCCCTGTTTGCCAACATTGGAGACAATATTGTTTCCATGCCCAAGGCCTTTTCCACCTGATATATGTTAACTACCATTTTGAATTATATTGTTTGCACACAGAATATCAACATTCCATTAGGTTTTCACTCGGTACACAGTTACGTCCCTTTAAAGTAGGTCCAGTTTCTTGTTGTTGACGAACAACTAACTCAATATCATGTGCAGGGATTCTTGAAAACTAACAATGGCCGAAATCCTCATCTAGACTAATGGTGGTCGCGTAAGACAGTTTACTTTTGAAACCACTTTTTTGGAGGGCCTTTTCGTATAGTTCTTTATTCTTATTAAAAAAAATTTCATTGGACGATAGTTTACTAATCCTGGTGCAAACGGTTAAATGGTGTGTGGGTAAGTCGACCACTTGTGTGAGAGATTGAGTGATTGAGAATTTAAGGATTTGGGTGCCAGCCGGGTAAGTAACCGAAAGTTTAAGCCCCCTGTCATGGTGAGCCTTAAAGTCAGAAAGTACAAATATATGTGCAGACGGGTTTAGGGAGATGGTCGTGTCTATATTTTCAGAAATACCATCTAGCATTCCACGGTCATGTGAGGGAGGGGAACGGTAGGGAAAGAAGCGATAACTGACTGGTTTCAGTAGAGAGGGAAGGAAACGCATGTAAGAGTGGTGTGGAGATTCAAGAGAGAGTTCTAGCGAAAGATGTCCATGGGCATGACTCCCAGACAATGTATGTGGACATTAGAGTTCTTTCTAAGAAGATAGCCAAGAAGCGAGAAATCAAAGAAGAGTACTGAAGAGTTAAGATCGAAATGAATTGGTTCATGTCTATTTGCTTTCACAAAAGGAGCAGCGTTTTTTTTTTATGTATGAAAGAGACTTTTCTTTGGTTGACTATATCGAGTTGGAAACTGTTCAATAGATCACAGTCAATCTCCATATATGAATGTACTCCTTAAAGGAATAGTGTGTTTATGAATTTGGGAGCAACTGTACATATATAGGCGTTTACTGTATCTTTGTTTCAGCTGACCTTAAACAATGTTAATAAATCGATAAATCAACAATCAAGTATCCATGACCAAGTTGAGGTTTCATATTGGAGACGATCAGCCGTGTCTTGACTTGGAAAGGGACGGGCTTTGCAAAGTCTACTTGCCCAAGACACGATCAGTCCAGATATCTGGTGGTAAATATGATCAAATACGGTCACGGGATTGGTGATGATGATGATTATTATGATGATGGTGGTAGTGGTGGTAATGCTGTTGCTGATGATGATTATGATGATGATGTTTCGATGCTTGCTCCTGTTCAGGATCTTTGAGAATTTCTTGCCGGATTTTAAGGTCGGGTGTTTCATTAATTTGCAGTATCTACGTTTCCGAACAAGACTTGTGAATTTTTCTGAATATAACTTTTAATCATTCTCTTCGTTTTCGCGCCTTCCTTGTCTTTATGTGCTTGTTTTTTTTATCATTTTTTTCATTTTCCTTTTTTCTTTTATCGTATTTCAGTTTATAACATGATTTTCTCTGTTCTGTTTATGATATTAGATTAAATTCCATTTTTTTAATTCTTGTTTATTTTTATTTTTCACGTTTTTTTTCTGGACATTTTGTGTTATTCATTTACTTTAGTGAAGTCAGTGAACAAGTTCTTGCTTTCAATATTTCCTTATTATCTGAAACTACAAATACTCGTGAAAATTTCATGGTTTCCCAATTTGAATTTTTTGATGAATTTTAATTCTTCATTTAATTACTGATTAAGCTCATGGCTAGTTCTACGACAATAAACCATCCCTAGAAATTCCTCTCGCATCATTAAATATTTGAGCTTAACAACTTTAACAAAATACTGCAATAAAATTAATAAATATGAATGCTGGTCGTTATTCTACATAAGGGGCTACAAATGAAAAGATTTGTAATTGATAACGTTTCCATTACACTAAAACAGACATTAAACACTTCTACCTTCTTTCTTTCACTGAAACCAAGTAACTTAAATTTGTCTTTTGCGTCTTTCCACGTAATGTAAACAGAATGCTCCATTATGTATGAGGTATTGGCAGGGCGTAGCGGTCGGGCTAACTAAGGGGTGGGGGACAAGCAGAATTATAATTTTAAATTGTTTATATTTTTCTTCCTTCTTTTATTTTTTATTTCCTTCTTTCAACTTTTTCTTTCTATCTTACTTTCTTTGTTTTCTTTCAATTTCTCTCCCTTTTCTTTCCGTCTTTATTTCCCTCTCTCTTCATTTCCATATTTCTCTCCGCGGTAAAGGCAAAGAGAAAGAGGGAAAGTTCTAGTTCTAATTCTTATTTTATTTATTACTGCTCAGTTATTACCATTTTCACTGGGGGGGAATTACACACTGCCCAACCAGGGATGGAAATCGCAGTCACAATGTCATCAACTTCACAAAGTATCGCTTTTATCTACGAGGCCATTGTCCTCTTTCATTTTCTACTTTCTTGTTTTCTTTTCATTCCGTTCATTTACACGTCCAGTGACTTTTCCTTTCTTTCTTTCTTTCTTTCTTTCTTTCTTTCTTTCTTTCTTTCTTTCTTTCTGTTTTCTTTTTATTCCGTTCTTTGAAATCATTTACACGTTCTGTTACTTTTTCTTTCTTTTCTTTTCTTTCTTTCTTTCTTTCTTTCTTTCTTCCTGTTTTCTTTTTATTCCGTTCTTTGAAATCATTTTGCACGTTCAGTTACTTTTTCTTTTCTTTCTTTCTTTCTTTCTTTCTTTCTTTCTTTCTTTCTTTCTTTCTCTTTATTCCGTTTTTTGAAATCATTTACACGTCCAGTTACTTTTTCTTTCCTTCTTTCTTTCTTTTTTTTCTTTTTTCTTTCTTTCTTTCTTTCTTTCTTTCTTTCTTTCTTTCTTTCTTTCTGTTTGACTTTGTTTTATCTTTTCTCTCCCAGTTTTTCTCCATTTCTTTTTTCTCTTATTTCTTTTTTTCTTCATTCTCTCACTCTTCATGAATTTGTTATGTCTTTTAAGACCATTTATGTTCTTACTTCTATGTATCTTTCACGTTTTGCTCTTTCCGATTCCGGATTCTTTTTCTGATCTTTCCACATTTCTTCAAAAACTTTTAATTACTTCCGGTAAGTCAATAATACACGCTCTAAAAAAAGATCATTCCATTTCGAATCCATTCTAGAAACCGATTGAACTAATTTCTTTCTTTTGACGCAGTTAATCTCCGAACAGAAACAATGGAAATGAGATACATTTAAATCACTTCAAAACTAAGTAAATATATTCAAGATATTCTTTCGCAATATGGCCAATACATTGAAAACGTATGCGTTAAAATATCACCCAGCACACATTAAATATTGATATTTCACATTTCAGCCGGCTCTTCCTATTGTTTGTAATAACAATAGACATCTCTATGTAGATGTGGAAATTATTTTCTTCCTTGCTCGCAAAATACGACCTTGACGATGTTTCCGACTTGTTATTTTTTCATTTTTTGAAAAACATTTTTAAGACACTCATTGCGGAAGAAGAATTCGCCCTTTTTTTAGAGAATTCGATGCAATTGGTGTCTTCGTTTCTTTTCCCCTCAATCATTGGCTGCTTTTTAAAATATTGAGTATATTTTATTTACATTTCAGATCTAAATTCCTTGAGTGACAAGCAAGAATTATACAAGAACTAAACAAAGACAACGCGTAGTGTTTTTTGTTTTTTTTTTTTTTTTTTTTTAACGATTTCCATAAATATACTAGAGGACATTCTCTGGCACTATAAATGTTCTGCAATATTTTTTTCGTAGCTTCTTCTTATTTTTCCGCTTACACGTCAACATGTAAATCTCTCGTGGAACATACCACATACATACACAACACACATACGTACACACATTCACTCACTTCTTATACTTTGGACCAAAAAGGTTCTCACACATTTTTGTTACACACATCATTCGTCTTTTTCACTTGTATAGCGTTCTTGTCAATACATTATCATTTGTTCGTACATGTATTAGTACTTGTTTCTTTTCATTTATTCACGTGGACTCACATACCGAGTTCACCAATTTTGCTGTGGGTATTTCAGGAGACACGTGTTATTTCTCAACTTAAACACCCACGTTACTAACGTCCCGAAAGAGCTTCATAATAAGTAATGCTTTCTTTAGTACTTATTTTAGTTTCAGAATTTATAAAGGAAATACATTCTGCAGTTTTGAATGTTATAATTAATTCTATTTTGAAATGGTCTTTTCTTTGACACCGCTAAGAAAAGCAAACTATGATATGGAATATTTTTAATGAAAGGGGCTCTGTAAAACTCACCATGTACATGACTTCTGGTGGAGTTTTATGATAAGCCAACCAGAAAATACCTGATTCCCTTGGGTAATCTTACTTGTATTGGGATATAAAATTGTTTTATCTGGTTGCAATGAGAAGATTCTCCTTAAGGGCAACATCTCGATAACCAGGTTTCAATTTTAAAAAATGATCCGTAAAACTATTCTTCTTATTTTAAGTGCTGTGTTTCTTCAGGACACAGGTGATCATGGCCCCCCCACATCTTCCTGTCCCTTGTAGCTCTTAATAAGTTTTGTACTTTTGTTATTTCTCCTAAACCCTGTTCTGCCATCCATTTGCTCAAGTCCGTCAACTATATCACGCTTTGCTTTCCCCTGCCCCTCTTTACTTCTATCCGTCCTGTGCGTATCAGATTTTCCAAGCCCCTTCCTTATTACGTGGCCCCGAAGTTTCAGCTGTCTCTTCTTGTTGTTAAATATAAGTTTCCTTTTTGTACTCATTCTCTCCAAAACCTCGTGATGTCGGGGATGAAGAGAAAGGGCAATATCTATAATTCTTTAAGAGATGAAGAAAAACAGAAAAAGAAACAGTTTTTCTTCATTTTTCTTCTGGCGTTGTCTATCACCAGTCATCTATTTCCTTATTTTCATATATGTCTTTTCAAGTATGTTTATATGTTTATCTATCTATCTATCTATCTATCTATCTATCTATCTATCTATCTATCTATCTAAACGTTTTATACTTCTACGAAAATCTGTATAAATCATTAATTATTGTGATATACATCTATCTATCTATCTATCTATCTATCTATCTATCTATCTATCTATCTATCTATCTATCTATCTCATTCTCTCTCTCTCTCTCTCTATATATATATATATATATATATATATATATATATATATATATATATATAAGTACGGTTATATGAATCTATATATCCATCAGGTAAGGTTATATAAATAGCTATGTCACTAAAGACAAGCTAAACTTATACATCTATTACGTAAATATTATATGCATCAAAATATCTACTAAATAATTATATAACTTCAGATATCTATTAATCAGCGTTTTCTAGATATCTATATATCTATTAAGTTCGACTATAGATCTCTGAATATTTTGGATTATGAATCTGGAATCGCTCACCAAACCAGAATTGTTTCATGGGGCAAAACATGATTGTGTAAGGGTGATAGATTTAGAGAGAAAAGAGAATGCATATAAATTCAGTTTCATATGTTTGGGTTTCATTAGAATTCTAAAAATAGCTTTTTAAAACAATATAAATTGTCAAGAGAATATATCGGTGTCACGGGGAAAAATGTGCTTTTGATACACTATTTTTCGGGTAAGAATGTTAGGCTTTGTCGAGAAGTGGATTTAAGCTTCTAGCAAGGACTTTCGAAACACAAAATGTTAGAATTTGAACTCGGCTCAACTTTTACTGATCCTTTTTTCTTGTATACTTCATCCAGTTTCCCCTTCTTTAAGAACATCACAACGTTTCAGTTCGTCTTCATCTCAATTATCTGCCGTATTCAATACGATACGTCGAATATTGCCGTATATTTTTAGAACTTACAACCGTCATTTCTCTAGGTACGGTTTAAAAAACAGGGAGGACAGCTCTTTCTAGCCTGGATTGGTAAGTAGTCTAGAACAACAACCACGGATTTAAAACCACGAAGAAAACATTGTCAAATTACTTCGCTATGCAGTTTTGTATATTAATGAAAAGGAGATTATGGAGAGTCATGATCGGTTGCATCCTGAAATGAATTGACCTTGAAGGGAACAAAGTGTCATATTTTTCTCATGGTATTTATCTGAATCTACACTAAACCAGTGTATATGTCTGCACTCAGTGACCCACAGATCGAGTTCAGTGTTTTAATGGAACAGAATGAACTTTATTAGATGTTTTGTCAGTTAGGTCCTACCAAATTGAACGTCTTAACAGACAGGTAACTGAGAAAAATAACAGGCAGTGGATTGAATAAAACGGCGAGAGTGATCGAAACTGTGAACGAAACTATTATGATATTAGAGCTAGTATAGAAGTTTAGTGTCAAAAGTTTACTGGTGATCAAAATTTTATCTAAGGAAAGAAATTCTAACGTATTTTAAGAGGCATATCACTTTTGAGGGTAATGTAAAAAGTGAATTAAACCGGTTATTGGAGAATATTAATCGAGTATGGACGTAAGGCCAACTAACAATTGAAAAGTTTAAGACTGTTGAGAAGCAGTACTGCTGACAGTTGTTAACGGAAATCATCCTGAGTTGAAGAACAGCAAGTTGTTTTGGAAATATTTAGAACACAGATAATCTTTGATAAGCATGAGTAAAAGCGAAGTGGGAAATTGTAATTTAAAGATATCTAGTAATAGTACTGTCATTTCTCATCTTTATTTATTGAATTTTATTCCCTTAATTTACTGCCGGATATTCACTCGGGAGTATTTGATTGTTCAGTAGAAAAAAAAACATTCTGACTATCCAATTAAAGAAAACTGAATAAGACCCGCTCTTACATAAGAAAAAAAACACGATCCTGAGCAAAAAAAAAAAAAAAAAAAAAAAATGGCAGGAAATGCGAAATTGCCACCAGAGTGGACGGATGGGCCAGTCGACGCTAAAAGTTAAATTGTGTCCGACTTACACCTTGGAGAGCTATCAGTGGTAACCATAATCCTCCAAAGTCCTGAAATTATATTTTGCTGACGATATTCTTCTAAAAGTGTTTCTACCGAGATTTGTAGAGAGCTTTATGCTGATTATCTGTTAATACGTCTGCGCGTCAACCTTATCATCCACCACAACCGCCGACTCATTACCAGTTCGGCATATTTTTTAACATTTTATTTTATGTTGTATACATGATTTTTAATCATATTACAATAAGCACCCTTTACACTTGTTATCAAGTGCATATCAGGTTTCTTTATTTTAAAAGTCGCCAAGACCATTGAAGATTACTGCATGCGACCGGACCGAACCAGTTAGACGACGTTTCGACAAAAGACTTTGACATTCCTTCGTCAATCCACTATTTCCGCAAGTCTTTCAACACATCGTGGGTGCAGAAATATAAACGAAAAGACACTATGGAACTGAACGGAGACGGTAGAAGAAGGAAAACAAACATAATAATAATAATAATAATGGGAATTTGATGGGGACATAGAACATTATATGAGAATACGTTTGATACTACAAAGCGAACTTAATGGGGTCAATAAAATGAAGACTATTAGTAGTAACATACAGCTTCAACATTATTAAATGGAAGCTGAATGATATTAAAGGAATGGACGCCAAAACCAGAAAAATGCTTATCCAAATGAGGATGCCCCACCTGAAATCGGATAGGCTGTACGTACCAAGAGATTAAGAAGGCCGAGGTATAAACTACAACAATCGGATTGGAAGCATATCTCACACAAAACAATGACCCTCTCCTACAAATAGTAAAGCACCAAATCCACTCCATCAACAAAGAAGCTACAGTATTCAAGCGTTTACTATACCTGAAATCCTACCAACAAAAACGAAGCGTAGACCGTCTACGTCAAACAAGTAAAACAGAAAGTACAACAACTTGGCCAAATGAAATTACAAAAAAGAAAACAAAAAAAAAAAAAAAAAAAAAACAAGGAGGACAAGGCGTTGCATGGCAAATACCTAAAAAGAACGAAAGAAGCAGATGTGGACCAACAGAAAACACATCAGTGGTTGAGGAGCACCGGGCTGAAAGGCCTAATTATTGCAGATCAGGACCAAATCCTGGCAACCAGATCCTATCACTGTCACGTAATCAAGGACAGAACTAATCGAAATGCTGGATCTGCGGAAAATATGCTGAAACTGTCAACCATATTATCTGAGGATGTCGGGAACTAGCAAAATATGAATATACCCACAGTCATAAACAAAGTAGCGATATAAGTGCACTAGAAGATATGCAAGAAGCACGAAATCGAAACCATTGAGAGATGGTATGACCACCAACCAGACACATTTACCCAAAATAACGATGTAACTATTCTCTGGGACATACCAATTCAAACTGACAGGGAAATAAAAGCCAACAGACCTGATATTATCATAAAAGGCAAGAAATTCAGGAAGTGTTTGCTTATTGTCATAGCAGTACCATCTTAGAGAAATACCTCCATGCTAATTATGGAGAAGTTGTACTAATAAAGGAACCTGGAGATCGGAATAAACAGAAGTGGGGAATGAAGACTGAGACTGTACCAATAGTAATCAGAGCTGTGAGCCTCGTGAGACACTAAAAGTGTCCCCGGTAACATCAACATATAAGATGCCCAGAAGATCGCCCTACTAGGAACATCCCATATACCAAGAAAAGTGCTATCAATTAAATGACAATTCTCCAATAGGGCTTAAGAACCATAGTTTGGACCCGGCTCCACAGGATTCAAAGCAGCAAACATGACATACACAAATAATAATAATAATAATAATAATAATAATAATAATAATAATAATAAAATAATAAAACACAACTTGCCACTTATATATAGCCAGACTAGGAATCCCTGCATGAAAATCGAATTACTATACCAGATAATGAACATTAGAATCTAGAGTAACACTTCTACACTCCCTCACATTCTTTCTTTCTTTCTTTCTTTCTTTCTTTCTTTTTAAACATTCTCATTTTGTATTTATTTTTCTTACTTTTTCTTTCTTTCTAAACATTCCTTTTTCTCTTTCAATTTTCTTCTAACCATTTTCATTTTATATTTATATTTCTTTCTTATTTCCATTTTCAGTTTAATGTCCTTTCTTCTTTTCTTTCTTAACATTCTCATTTTAAGTCTAAATATTCTTTCTTTCTAAACATTTTTATTTTCCATTTATCTTTCTTTCTTAACATTCCCATTTTCTATTTATTTTTCTTTATTTCTAAAGATTCTATCTTCCCTTTAAATTTTCTTTATTTTTTCTTCTAAACATTTTCTATTTATATTTCTTTCTTTCTTATTCCTATTTTTCAGTTTAATGTTCTTTCTTTCTTTCTTTCTTTCTTTCTTTCTTTCTTTCTTTACATTTCCATTATGTTTCTTTGTTACTTTATATCTTTCGTCCAGATAATGAGTTTTTGAAACTGCTATTCTTTGTCTGTTATTAAAAAATATCAATTTAGCAGCAAATTTGACGATTCGAAATCGAAACTCTCGTTGATATGCGTAAATTTGAACTGACTGTTAATTTCAAAATGTCTGTGTTGCTTTTCCTATTCGTTGATAAATACCTTTGGCGTTTTTATCTTTCTTAATCCTTTATTTCGTACATCAAATTTGAAGAAAAGTCTTCAGTTTCTTTAAAAAAACATACATCTACATGCGGGAGTAGCGAAAATGTTAAAATTCCTTTTACTTTGAGGTTAAACAGTGTGATCAGAAAAATCAGATTTGTGTACATAAGGGATAAAATAAATTAATTTTCTTAATCTCTTTATTATTTCATTCTTATAATCCATCGTTTTCGTTGTAAACTTCCTAAGCCGATATTTAGAATTTGGTCCTTTCTTTTATATTTCTCTCTACACATTGTTATTATTCTTTCTTTCTTTATTTATTTATTTATTTCAAACCATTCCCATTTTCCTCTTTACATGTTCTTTCTTTCTTTCTTTTGAACCATTCTCATTTTTCTCTTTACGGGTTCTTTCCTTCTTTCTCTCATACCATTCCCATTTTACTTGGTCTTTCTTTTTTCCTTTCTTTCTTTTTTCAAACCATTCCCATTTTTCTCTTTACATATTTTTTTTTCTTTTTTTCAAAACGTTTCAATTTTACTTTCTACGTGTCCTTTCGTTTTTTTTGCAAATTATTACCATTTTATTTTTTACATGTTATTTCTTTCTTTTGCTTCTTTCTTTCAAACCATTCCCAATTTTTTTCTTTCCATGTTCTTTCTTTCTTTCTTTTTTTCTTTCTTTCTCTTCCATTTTATTGATAAGCACTTGTTCTTGCTTCTTTCTCTTCCCTTTATTTAATTTATAAAATCCGGGCAAAAATCTTGACTGAATAAGATAAAAGGTTGGTTGCGTAAATATTTCATCTTCCATTTACAGAGGAGATAATTATCGTCATTTGAAAATCCCCGTTTCAGAACATAGCAGATAAATAAAATAAAATAAAATGATTTTCCCAGAAATAATTTCCACCGTCTGCATTGAAAGCTTTGAGGAATAAATGCATGCAAATATAGACTATTTTAAAATTCGAATATACATTTGCTCAGCCTTTCCTCTTTCTGTCTTTATTAAAAAACCGGCAACGAAGGAGTCATCACAAATGCGTGATTTCTGCAAAATTGTTACCCTCTTCTTACGCAGTTATTTTCTATAAAAGTTTAAAATGTATTGAAAAATAATGTAACCATGCAATTTTAGTTCATGCGAAGCTTGATAAAAGCATTTCTCAATTTTTACCATTTCTCAGTACACACACATACACACACAGACACACAGACACACAGACATATATATATATATTATAAAAATATACTTTTAAGTTATGCTATAATTATGGATAAAAGTGCTCAGTATCAGAGATAGAGAGCATTGTAAAAGGGAACACTGATGTCAACACCAAGTGTGTATCATGCTTGAACGGAATATTTAGGCATTATGTAGTGCGTTTTAGCTTGACTAGTTATGTATGCTAGGAGATAGTGTATTATCTATCTATCTAGCTAGCTAGCTAGCTATACACACACACACACACACACACACACACGTGCACACGCACACACACACACACATATATATATATATATATATATATATATATATATATATATATATATATATATATATAATATAGAGAGAGAGAGGTAGATAGATAGAGGTAGAGAGAGAGAGAGAGAGAGAGGTAGATAGATAGATAGATAGATAGAGAGAGAGAGAGAGAGAGAGAGAGAGAGAGAGAGGTAGATAGATACATAGAGAGATAGATACATAGAGAGATAGATACATAGAGAGATAGATATAGAGAGATAAAGTACCTTTTTCCCGCACCGGTAAACCATTTCTGGTGATTTTTTTAATTTTTTTCATCGGCTATTTCGATCTTGGCCGGATAGGTTACCCTCCCCTTGGTGAGTTTGGTTGGCTTGCCATCTTGAACTTGCCTGCTAGTATAAGAATTCTAATTCTCTCAAACTACAGCTACCAACCGCCTGGTTGATTGCGTGAAAGCGCGTAGAACTGTCAGTTGTGGTCGGTTACTGCCCACTTGAAATTTGACATATATATATATTTGTCCATCTTTCGTTTTGATGAATTTTTTTGATTATCTTTAGTACATTAGAATGTGGTAAATGTTTCTTTCTTTCGTGCAATTTCTTCCAATTTTTATTCTATTAGCTCTCATTCCATTTCCTTTTACCGTCTATTTTTCATTTCTTTTTGCTTTTCTTCATTTTATTCTTCCTTCTTTTTTTCCTTCATTTTGTCTATTTTGAAGTATTTCGTGTTCATTCACATTAATCCTCCCATATTTATTTTCCCACATTGGCATGGTGCACTCATTCATTCTTTATCTCTTACTTTCTTTATTATTACTTTATTGTTATCATTCTTTTCAAAATTTTTTTTCATTCAATTATATTTCTCCTCATCTTTCCACATTAACATGACCCGGTTCCACTTTTGTCTTTCTTTTTTCTTTTGAAATATTTTGGTTTCATTCAAATATATTTATCATTAGCTTTCTTTCTTCATCAACTTGATTTCTTTCTTTTTCTTTCTTTCTTTCTTTCTTTCTTTCTTTCTTTCTTTTGTCCCTTTTATTTTGAAGTATTTTACTTTCATTCAAATATATTTTAGATTATGTTTCATTTTGCCTTTACGGCTATATCACGCTGAAACACCGATTCTTGTTCAATTACCAAAGTTAAGCAACATTGAGTCTGGGTAACCGCTGAGGAATACCAGGTTATGTAAGCAGCAAGACAGGCCTAGCAAGCTAGCGATGGACACAATCTCGCTACTTATACTAACAGAAGACCTTAATATGTGGACGTGCTTCTGGACTGGCAGGTCGCAACACCTATTCGTAGTTAGGTGAGAAGAAGAATATTTTTTCTTTCTTCTTTAGCTTGATCCATATTTTTCTTCCTTTCCGGAACAGCATTTAACCTTTCTTCTTTATAACCTTATTTATCCTTTCTGTTTTTTTCCCAACTTTTTTCTTTTTTTTTAACTTTATTCTTATTTTTAACTAACCGTACAGCAATTGCAACAGGGAAAAATCGCTCAAGCTATCATTTTGAATACACACTAGTCAATTCGAGAAATCCTGTTGTATGTCATTTTAAGAAAAAAGAAAATGCGGGGTAATTATTATACAGGTTGCCCCTCACCCAAATTGACATCAATTAAAATGTGAATAACTGAGTAACATGTTCTGAGCAAAGGAAATTAAATAGGCTTCATATTGTACATTATAAGATTTATTTATCAAAATTCGGACAACATATTCAAAGGGATGTAGATTTTATAACCGATTTCGCAAAATTTCACAAGTGTTCCCTATGTGCACCAGCTGTGACACGACACACATGAAAACAGTGGTCCAGCTCCTGCCAAAAACGCTGTAGCATGTCTTGCGTAGCATTCTCCAGCGCCTCAGTGCAGACTTAACTCAATGAGAATCTACCAGGAAGATGGATCGGGAATGCCAGTGATAATGACAGTATTCTCTTGAAATGGTCATCACCGTTTACTTGACTTGACACCTTATGATTTTTTTTCTGTTGTACTATGTGAAAGGACAGGTCTATATCCACCCCCCTAGAGGAACTTAAGCAGAGAATCACTGAGTCACTGGAGAATATTACACGGACATGTAGCGCGAGTTCAAATTCCGGAAGAGGCCATTGTTTTCACTTTCGCACAGTGTCTTTGGGAACGGCATAAATCCATCTCTTATATACAGCCTTCAGTTGTGAGTTTAATTTCCGTGATTGGAAGCCAGTCTAGAAAAAGGACAACAATGGATCCACTCCGTAAAACCTACTTGATACTGAAAATTTGTCATGAGGATTGTGAACCTGTCCATAGGCCAAGCAATCAACTCCGATTGAGAAGAAAAAATATTAGTAAATAAGACTTCCTATTTCAGTCGGATACGTTAGAATTATAGAGTTGAAGTAGACTTTAGAAGGGACCGGAAACCCTACCCTAAATAGGAAACAAAGGATAAACCTCTACTTGTATTCAAAAGATTGGGAAGGAGTGTCAACCAGGCGATAGGCGAGCCTATCTACACCTATGTAATGAAGATTACATTTCTCTAATATTGAATGCTCATTCCTCATAAATAATGCAAATTTTAAACAATATGTATTTATATTGTTCTAACCTAGAAAGGGTTACTGAATGAGGAATAGCCAAAACGGAAGTTGGAAATGAAATGGTAACATCAACAAAATACAATACTCGCCAGCGGCGTGAGGTAGGTAAACCACTGCTAGTGGTGGACTACTTAGACAGCATATTACCCCCCCCACCATTTACAATAGTGTCCAACGTATTTATTAGGATTGGGACATACCCATTAGTCTTCATAGGTACGGTATATATATATATATATATATATATATATATATATATATATATATATATATATATATATATGTGTGTGTGTGTGTGTGTGTGTGTGTGAATATTAACGTATTAAGAAAGTACGTATATGCATTTTCTCTTTGCAAATGCGATAGTAAAAGTAATAATTATGATATTACTTGCTATTAACAAACCGTTCACATCTGCTATAACTTCATCCATGGCCCTATGTTTCTCATACATTTATATCCTATTTTTAATTTATATTTAATTTTTCGAAGAACTTTTCTCTATCATAACACTGAAATAAATTAAATAAATAAAATCTAAAATCTAACTTTTAAGCAAGAAAATCGGAATAGTAAAAAGAGCATGCTGACCGAAAAAACCGGAAACAATATAAAAATGATATAGAAAATAATATAAGTAAATAATAGATTGTAGAAAGTTGTACCTTATTTTTCCATTCCGGTATTTGTCTTTGAATCACAGCTCGAAACCACAGTGTAAGGATTGAACTTCCTAAGCACAGTTACACGGTGAAGTACCCTTTCTTTCTTTTCTTTTCTTTTTTTATGCTTTCCATTATATTTTCTCTTCCTCTCCGACCTGAAGCTAGACATCCGAAATGATGAAAGCTTCTCTCGCTTTAGCAGTAACCTCATCGATAGACGAACCTGATTTTAATTTTCATCAACATGTCTTTCGTAGTTAGCAGGCTGCATTTTAGGTTATAAAGAAATTTAAACGAAAAATAAAAGAAAGAAAGAAAAAAAAAAGGAAAGAGATTTCACTGACTGTGGATACCTACAGAATCTTGGGATATTATTTCTTTCTCAATTCATCAACTTTCTTTTATTTCTACTGTCTCTCTCCTATTGTCATTGTAATCATTAACGATGCTGCTAGCGCCGATTATATCACCATCAAAGCGCGCTGTATCAGAACCCCGTCTTAATTCGGTAAGTTACGCAGTTTCAACTCGTTCATACTTTTCTATAAACAAAACACCAGAAAATTTCAAATAAGCACCTACCTACCATTATTTCTTATGGGAAATATAAAAAGAAAAAAAAATATGTTTACATTTTCTTTTTCATTAGTATCGGGGTACGTCTCTTAAACATAATTTATATATAAATTGATTTAGTTTAGTATACACCAAACTAGACTAGATAAATTATTAAAAAAATATGTTAGGTGAATTTCTCTAAGTGTGGGAGGGCTGAAACACTCAAAATATTGTTTTTAATCTGTGCTCGAATATTAACCACTTGCCCCAGTGGAGTAGATTGTATTTTGTGGCAAATTTAAGCTATTGCACCCTGTCGTTAAGGGAATTTTCATAATTGTAGTTAAGGTGTAGCACAAGGCCGAAAGTCTGGGGTAACTAGTGAGGATCGAACACACTACACAGTCATAATTCTTCTA